ACAGACTCCAGTGTTGAAGAGTGCAGCTCGCACATGTTCAACAATTACACACGTTTACTGTGATTTCAGAGGCAACACGTCACTTTACTGTAAACACGCCAGTGGTGATGAATCCCCGCGTGGATCGGATCTGATCTAATGTTGGTTTTATCGCCATTAGTCGCTCATGTGTGTGTGTGTGTGTTGTGGAACCGGGTCTTACCCTGCTGCTGCTGCTGCCGGAGGCTCCGGTGCCGCTGCCGTTACTCCGCGGATCTTCTGACCGGGAACCGAGCGTGTGCCGCGGTTAAAGCGACCAAAGAGCCTGCTGCTGCTCCGTCAAGATGGTTCACTGAAAACACTCCCTCCGCCGAAAACCCGGAAGTCATGTCCGCGCAAACATCTCTTTAACCCCAAACCCTCCTCTGTCCCGCCTCCCTGTGTGGAGGAGACACCGCGCGTCCCCACGGGGGACACGTTTCTTCATTTAATTCGTTTAATCAGTGGCTTATAAGAGCTAATAAATAACCCACCTTACTGGAAATGTGTATTGGCAGCGCATCATGAGAGCATTAGTCCCTTTAATATGAGTTAAAGCACATTTGTTGGTCCTTTTAAATTAAAGGTTCAGTGTGCAGACATTAGTGACACCTAGTGGTGAAAGGTCATGTTGCAGCTGAGCACGCCTCACCTCCCCCCTCCCCTTTAGTTTGTCCAGTTTGGACGACTGTAAAAAACTTGGCAGCCTCCGGAGAGAGGACCTGCTTCAGATGTAAATATAAAGTATTTAAATATAAAGAGCCCATTCTAGGGTCAAGAAAAAACAACAATTCGTACAATTTAGATGAAACACACTGGTGAAAACATCACTAGGATTATTTTATATTCAATTCCTGACAATAGACCCCTCTCACCTAAACCTTACACACTGGACCTTTAATAGAGATTTAGTTTTCCAAGTTTCAGACTCACTTTCATTTCCATTGTTATTTCAAAGCTTGCATAAGAATTTCCTTGAGGATTAATAAAGTTTTATATCTTATCTTATATTGATAAGATAAGATATAAAACCCCCCTGTTAAAAATGAAATTTCCTCAGACCTCTGGGGACAAAGGTCAAGGATGTTGCATATTGTTAAGACCTATGAGGCAAATTGGGTTTTGCAAAGATGGGCTATACAAACAAATGGATTGATTGATATTTAATGTTTTCTGAATAATTTTAATGTAACTTATTCAGAGGGAAATGTGGACTTTTTACTTCCCTGCTTTATTTATACTGCCGTACTTTATCTACTTGAGGATTTTACATTTAAAACAGATGTTGTAAAATATGAATATGATTGTTCTGGAAGTTCTTTGTGTTTTAAAAGTTGTGTTTTGTATGTATGTACTTGATGGGTTGTTTTGCATGTATTTTGTTGTTCATTTCATATTTTTTTGCATTTTGTATGTTTTTATCTTTTTTAATTTCACATGTTTTGTATGCATTTTCTTAATAAAACCAGTTTTTCTTACATTTTCATGGAATTTAGGGTGAGGTTGTTTAACCTTCTGTGATGTGCTATTCTCTATAAGTACTTCATGGTCTCATTGTGCTGTTTAGAATTTTAAACGCCAGTTCAGGAGTGAGTACTTCAAATATATATCCCTAACACAGAAAGAGCAATGGTTATATTTCTGACTACATCTCTGTACTGTTACCAATCTTATAGTATTCATACGTTGTGAAACATCTAATTGAAGTATCTGAATACTCCCACCACTGACAGTTCTTTCGTGGTGCTCTGTGTAACTCTTCGGTCTTCCGACAGGCGGCGCTCTCGGTCCATCTTCTCCCTCAGCAGCAGCAGCAGCTCCGTTATTTCTAAGGTCTTTTTCTTTTTTGTCCTTTTCGCCTCGTGGGATACAGACCGCTATTCTCAGATCTCCGGAGGAGCAGTGTGGAACAATCGTGGCCTTATAAAAGGGACGTGGAAGCAGCGGTGCGCATTTAATCCAGGAGACTGAATGAGCTGCATGTAGATTTCCTCCTGGAGAAGCAGTTGCAGTAAGTAAGTTTTGTTGAGTTTCTTTTATAGAGATTAAAACAGATTGCATTTGGGAGACAGAGACATAAATATGCTCACAGGTTGCGTTTTTTTAGAGTCATGTATTTGCATCTTTGCATCTTCCTCTCTGATTCATTAATTCCTGTGAGTTTGCTCTGCAGATACGAATCATTCAATCTAGATTTATTTTATTTTAATTGGTTTTTGTTGCCTGTTGCACAGACTCTTGCTGTTTCTTTCCTCCTCATTCATTTAGTTTTGACTCATTTATTTATTAGTGATAACAGATTTGACCTCATCATTTTGATTACATCCTAAAAGTGTTTTAGACGATCGGAGATTGTAAAAGTTGTGGTGGGTTTCCCTGCACCCCTTCTGTTCCCCAACCCCCTTCCCCTTTAAAATAAGAGGCTGCATGCAAGAAAATGTTTGAAAAGACAGATTCTTTACATGTTGGCGGTTTATATGAGGGTAAAACAAAGTTAAGGATGCTCTCAACTGCTACAATCCATGTATTTCTTGACACAGTTCCATAGATTATAAAATCAGTTCTATTATCTTTCTTTTTTGTAGCTGATACATATTTATACATGGTGAGAAATCAAGATGTTTAGCAGATAAGTAAGCACGAATAAGTAAGATGTTCCCCTCAGAGAGAGCTGCTCTCTAGATGTTAGTTATTCTGTGTGCGTACAAGACTCTGGGTGATGCAGACTTTGGTGTGAGGAGCAAACCAAGTTGCCTATTTAAAAACTGGCAACTGTGATAAGTGTCGTCGCCAGTGAGAGCGAGCAGAGACAGGGAGGATAATGTGTCTGCGAGCCACACAAAGCACTCATCGGCTTTGCTTTTCTTGAAGTGAAGCAGTGATAAATGGTGAGATCGAATGTTTTTGGAGGTCAGCTCCACGCTCGTGAGCATAAATAAAAGCCTAAGCCATGCTTTGAAGCTGCTACCTGCTGGGGCAGTAACTTGCTCCAGGGCTTCAGTAGCAGCTCAGCATGGAGCTGAGGGGAGGTAGAGTCGCTGAGAGGAAAATCTATCTCTGTGTGACACTGAGCTGTGTGTTGTGGACACCCGGGAGCAGCCGGAATCTTGGTGACACAATGATTGAAGTGGGATTTCACGTGATACTGACCACTGTCCTGTGCAGCATCCTGCTGGTGGCTGTGGTGGCTCTGCTCTGCTTTTTCACCTGCAGACTGGCTGGAGCGCTGCCTCTTGGTGGACCTGGCACCGTTTAAGGTCACTCGGGTCTGCTGCATCTGAGGAATGGTAAACAGGACATCAACGCAGTCGAGGAGGTTAAGTTCTGGCCTCTGTCCATTAGTTTGTTTGTCTGTTGGCTTGGTTGTCAGCAGGATTACATATAAAACCTGGTGGAAGATGAACAATGATTGGCGAAGAGGAATTTCTTTTCCACATTCTTCAACGTTGTGAAACAGGGCTTTATCTTTCACATATTCACTGCTTTACCAGGGTGTAGTTCACGGACCTTGAATGTAAAAATCGAATATTTTTAAGGAAGTGATATCTATGAGTGTGTGTAATTTGGTGTGGGTCTGGAGGAGGTCTGAGCTCTACTGAATATCATCTGTTGTTTTTAAATCCACTTTACCATGTCCTGGTTCAGAGTCCATCCTGGTACAAACATTTTCTTATCCTCAGTATGGAAGAGTGCAGTTCAAAATCAAAATGCATGTAAAGTGAATGACTCAAGACTTGAGGCGAAATTAGAGCGTTTGATTTAACTACATCAAAGTAGATGAACTTACGCTGCAGTTTGTGTGGGGCGGAATCGTAAATGAGATCTTTGTGTAAACTGAACCAAAAATAATCAGAAACCTTGTGCCACCACTGCACAGGTGTCATCATTTTGAGATAAAAGTATAACTGTGTTGAGTCTCTCTCTTGGTGCCGGATGTGTCCAGTCAATCATCTGGTGTTAATCGGCTTTGTTATGGCCCCGTAAACCTCTCGGTGCTATGGAGCTCAATCCCATTAAAATGACCTTGACTGTAAGCACGGGGAAGAAAGGAGGAGGGTGTGGATAATTATAAATGAAAGCCTTACTGGCCAGGACCCACATGGGCCCCTGCTGTGACTACTTGCATTCGCAGCAAGGCCCAAAGCTTCACTTTACCAAGCGTTCCGTTCGTTTCTGCTGCGAGGCCCAGCGGTGGACTGGCTTTTTAACAAGCGAGGCCACGAATGGACGAGAAAATATAAAGAAATGTGATATTGCTTTGATGACATGAAGCAGACTGCTGCTTGTGTTCTTGTTCTTTACGCCTTCACCAGTCTTTTCTTATTTTATTTAGAAAGCCTATGGAGGCTGCGAGGGGATGAGTTATACCACCACTTCTCTCCACTATTCCTTTTAAGGCCAAGCTGAGCAAAGAACTAATGCTCCAGTTGTTGCCTTGTCCAGATCTGCCCCTCTTTACGGACTCTTCCACTTTTATGTCTTCTCTTTGCTTGTGTGTCTGTGTCTAGATTGTGTGTTTCACCTGTGTGGCTCACCAGGCCCTTGTGTATCTTCTCATTTCGTCATCTTCCCATTGTCGTCTCCTTGCGCATCTGCTCAGTTCATGTGTCTCTGCATAGCCTGGAGCACAATCAGAGCTGGTGTGAGCCTGTTAATCCACATTAAATGACCTTCACTGCACCTGACTGCTTACTTCATGTCAACATTTTGGGGGCTTAAAATCCTTTAACACGACACACTCAGCAAGAAGAGCCTGTGGTTGTACTCAACCTGCAGAGCAACAAGGTGAACCAGAAGTGCTGGTATCAGGCTGAAGTAGGTGTGTTTAGTTCAAACCGTTCTGAGTAAAATAAATACTAAACCAGTATGTCAGCGTCAGCAAGTGACAAGATGACGTAAACTTAACCACTACTGTGTTTACCTTCTCTCCTACAGCTGTGAGGCTGTGCAGCAGACGGGCTCCCTCAGCTGCTCCAAGTGGCATGTTATGGCTGTCTAGAGAAACACGTCAGCCACCGAGAAGAAAATATGAAGGTGACAGCCCTGCTCATTATCTGCTCCTGTCTGATCTCGGGGAGTCTGGGGAAGCCGCAATTCCCTGGTAAGTTACTGTGTTGTTAGTCAGACGCCACACAAACAACAACGGAGTAAGTAACTCAGCAACACATGTTCAGAACACACAGTTATTTCAGTTTGCAGGAGGACGTTAAAAGTCTTAAAGGAAGTTTATCTATCCTAAAGGATTTCCTGTTTTGTCTAACCCTAACCCTAACCCTTAAATTTGAGCCAATTCAGAAAATAACAGGAATGTATTGTTTCTAAAAAGGTTTCATCCTGTTCATCGTCTTGACAGTTGTTTAAAAAAAGCTTATCCGGTGTAACGAACACAGATTCTTAACTTGTCAACCCTTGTACACAATTTGACTCTGTCTAAAAGGGTTGACATGAGGAGCTAGAGCAGCGACTGACACTTATCTTAATTATCAATTAATCTGCTGAAGTAATTGAAAAAGTTAACTTTCATAGCTTACTAAGAAATCAATAATAAATATTTTACAGAAATTCTTATAACATAAATCTTTTCTTCCTAAAAATAGACCTTAATTGTAAAATGATTATCAAAATAGTTTTTTTTAATTTCAACTTCAACAAATTGAATAGCCCACTTGTTTCATCTCTACTGTCATACATGTTGTGGTCATAGTGGTGATGAGTAAGAACGTTTTTTTAAATTTCCAAATCATCATTAAATTATAAAGTTTGGGAATATTTCCTTAAATATATTTCCCCTTGCTTTAAGTGAAACACAACTGTGTTCTGAATAATCTGATCCACATTTACTGTAATAAAATGTATCTGTTGAATCCTGTAACCATCCACAGCCAACCAGACTTCTTATTGTTTATTGTGATGCACAGAGAAAGAAAAGGACCCTAAGTTTTGGAATGTGTGGGCCCAGCAGACCCTGAAAAACGCCCTGACTCTGCAAAAGCTCAATACAAACAAAGCAAAGAACCTCATCCTCTTCCTTGGAGATGGTAAATCAAGATTTTTCATCCTGTGTAAAACCACTAAAAGGGGGAAATGTTTTCAGTAATCTCATCACTAAACACCCTAATTGTTAGATTCTCTTCAGTCTTGACCACATTGCCCTTGTTATTTATCTATAGATGTGATAAATTATAAAAAACCCAGCCAAGTTTATAGTTTATGCAAATTAAAATGCTCTTTATAAAGATCCATCAACCCAGTGGAAAATGAGATTTGTTTTTAATGGTTAACAGTAAACTACACTGCGCTGCCACCACATCACTGGGCTTCTGTTTGTGCCGGGACGCTCGTTGGTTGCATAATAACTTTTATCCTCCATCGGGCCTCTGCTCTCTCTGTTTGGACAACATGCACAGAGAGACATTCTTGTGCACTGCAGCATGCGTGCTCATGTTAGTATAGTTACAGAATAACAGGCAGCATCTTATGGCATTGAGAAATAGTTGGCAGGACGCAACAGGAGATGATTGTCTATCTGGAAACTGTTTCTCAGGCAAATCCCAAGAAAACCAATGGCTAGAGTGAAAGTAATGAGTCTCACGTTGACCCATTGTGTCTCTAAGCCTTAGATTTATTATTGTGCAGGACAGAGTTCAACATACAAGTGAGTTTTATCACTAGGGAGGCCAAACCAAACACCAATAGAGTAATGACATTTTCAGTTCACGCAGCTCTTCCAGATCCATATCCAAATACATCCTCACTCCTTGTGACCTAAACTGGTATAAGACACCATGAGTTTGTGGGTAGGACATTCAGATATTCATCCTAGACCAAAGAACAACAACAAAAACGTGATGGATCAAGCTGTTCACAGATCAACTACACAAGGTCTTTTCTTCCTGTCCCCTCAAAAGTTTCTCTCTTTTTCCTTATTTTCCTTTGAGTATCTGTTTTAAAAGTAATTTCTCTCTAAGTAAATGTTTTGTCTCATAGCAGTAATCTTATCTCACTAAAGTGGCAAAAAGGCAACAGTCTGTCATACATTACAAAATGAGCACAGCAGTGAATGAAATGTGTCAATATTTGTCTTTCCTGCTCACCCTGAGGGAGAAAGATAATACCATCTAACAGTATACTTTTGGTGCTTAGGGATGGGCGTTCCCACGGTAACAGCTGCTCGAATCCTGAAGGGTCAGCTGAATGGACAGAGCGGAGAGGAGACGCAGCTGGAGATGGACAAATTCCCTTTTGTGTCTCTGGCTAAGGTCTGATATGGTCATTATATCACACAGTATAGGGGAATGTATTGATCTTGCTTTGGCCATTGATGGTTTCCTGACAAAGGTCTGTGACTGTAAACAAGGTCATTTAGTGGGTTATGTCAATCTGGCTGTGTATCATGATACAGATTTGTTCGATTAGTTTCTTTATGTATACCTGTATATGTTTATGTACTAGATTAAGAACAAGTGGCAATATTCTATATTTTTTTCGCTATCAACAATTCTGATGAAAAGACTCTGATGTTCAATGAAAAGCATGCATTTTCCTTATATGGCTTCACTAAGCCTTACATTGGCTAATCCCTCAGATTTCATCTGGCTACAAGCAAGTTAGAGGTGCAACGTACAGCCCAATTCATGTTTCTGCATTAAAGCTACACTGTAGCCTGTACAGAGACGCCAGATAATTTATAAATAAGCGGACCAGAAACCGAAATACACTCACCACCAGCATAGAAACTCTACCACCAATAGTGTTTTGGCTGTGTAATTGCAGTGCAACTCACACACACACTTACACACAACTTTGAATGCTTGGCCCCATGCATAGGCTAGGTGCTACGCGGTGTAGCCTCAATTCAGAAGCATGAATCAGCTACCACTGTGATTAACCCCAGTAGGAGGTGAAAAAGCTTTGTGTCAGAAATCCCAGGGCTAAACCTGAAGTTACCTGGTTAACCACAAATCTTGTTTAGCAAAATTACTTTATCTTACTAATGAGTAATATCTGTGTAACCAAAGCCTGATATAGCTTGTTTCTCTGAGCTATGGAGCTTAATTGTTGTCCATAGTTGAAAAACATTCCTTCATTGCTCGAGCATCCAGTTCCAGCTGTAGTGTAAGTGGCATCTTAGACAATAACCGAAACAAAATTTAATTATCTTGCATTCATTCCGTCTCAATACATGACTTGACACGAATACATGGTACATGGTGGACGGATTTGTGTGTCAGTCATTCTGAGAGCAGGATTATCAGGGGCCTTAGCCCCTAGTAGGGTCTCCCAAGGCAATTTTGTCCCAGGGGAGAGGCCAGACCAAGAGTTGTTAACATTAACAGGGACTTTGAGATTGCATCATCTTGCCCGGATTAGGAAAATTGGGGAACCCGAGAGGACCATGATGACCTTTGTGTAGGAGGAGTTCAAGGAGGGCATGGAGAAAGAGTTTCAGTTGGCGTCAAGAATGCTCAGGCAATCTCAGGAAGGGGAAACAGGGCTTAGCCCAAGCTGTTTTCAGCAGGGGAGGAATTCTGGGGGGGATGGGGGCTCTCCAATATCTCTGGCAAAGGTCCTGTACCTGAGAATTTACTTTTTACTGTTCAGCCACCCAAGGAAAGCTTATGCCAGGGTGCTGCGCAAGGATGCAATGACAAACCTCAGATTCCTTTGAAACAACATGGATGAAACAGTAGACCAACACATTGGACCAAACCTCGCAGGGCTGCTTGAGTTTGTCCATCCAGTCTACATATGTTTTATGAATTTGGAGAAGAACTATGACTGGTCTCTTTGGAGAACGTGTGAGGAATATTTTATGGGAATATGAGATTCCGCTGTTATGAGCCATCCAGTCTTTGTGTAAAGTTGTATCTGTAGGCGTGGGAAGTCAAACACATTCCCTAAGGGTACTGATATCTGCCAAGTTAGTCCCTTCCCACCAGTATTTTCACTGACGCAGTTGGGAGGGTGGGGTTGTACAATTTGGGGGACTCTGAATTTCCTGTGGTTCTGTTAGCTTTATCTGACCATGACCTTTAGCGTGCATTGCGTTAGTTTGAAGCTGAGTGCAAAGCAGCTGGGATGAGCAAGTCTGAGGTCATGGTTCTCTGCTGGAAAACAGTGGATTGCTTCATTCAGGTTGGGATGGAGATTCTGTATCTTGGTCTTGTTTACGACTGAAGGTAGAATAGAGCAGGAGATTGAAGGGCAGATTTGGGTAGTGGCAGATATAAGACAGGCTCTGTGCCAGACTGTTGTGGTAAAGAGGGAGCTGGCAGACAGAGCTTTCGATTCACAAGTTAATGTTGAACCAAAGGAGATATTCAATTTACAATGATTTACCATTGATGAGCAGCAATTCTACAATCGGTAATAGAAAGTTTACTGACTAATCATCATGTTTTAGTCAGTGGCTGTTACTGAAGGGATAGCACCTGTCATGTTCACACAACATCAGAATGACTATAAACAATCCAATTTCATCTCTGCAATCTGATCACATGTCAATGCCCTGTGTCCCTGCAGACATATAACACGAATGCACAGGTGCCAGACAGCGCTGGCACGGCCACAGCTTACCTCTGCGGGGTGAAGGCCAACGAGGGCACAGTGGGCGTGAGTGCAGCTGCTGTCCGATCCCAGTGTCAGACTGCAAAGGGGAACGAGGTCACCTCCATCCTCAGATGGGCTAAAGATGCAGGTAGAGTGACGTGATTTAACACAGGCCTGTTTCAGTTTCCTTGTCTCAAGATCTGTGGCTTGGATGCAGAATTCTGGCTTTAGTCAATGCTGCTCATTCACCTTCTCAACTGTTTATCATTTGATCCACAGTTATTTAAGAGCTGTTTGTGAGTGACATTTATTCAACCACAAAGTGTATTTTCATGTTCTCATTATAGACTAGTCCACTAGACCAATCATCAAGTTTCATAAGGTTTTAGTTGTTTTCCTAACCCTGATGTATCTGCATCCCTGAATCAAATCATTGTTAAAAAGTGGTTTGTATTTGTTTAACACATATAAAACCAGTCACACATGGGTTTGAGTGACTTTACTTTCAATAAGGAGTTAAATGCTGTATCCATAGTGCCAGACCGAAACATCTCATACAAACATTTTCAGTCAAAAGCCACAAACGTGGCCTATTTTATTAGAGTCCCAATGACTGACATTTGATTTACTTTGAGAATGAGCATTTACCTTTCAAGGATGCATCAGTGTTATGTTATTTCATCTGTTGAATGTTTTTAAGACAAAATGATAAAGGCAGCACAGAAGAGGAAACAAGATGTGAAAGGAATTTAAACCTTGGATTTTTAGAGAGCAGTGATTGGGACAACTTGGGGGTGGGTGAGGGTCATGGTGTGTGTGTGTTAGTGTGTGTGTGTGTGTGTGTGTGTGTGTGTGTGTGTGTGTGAGGGATCAAAGGTCACAGATAATAAGAAATCCAATCATTCCTCGGGGGACATGGCAGGCAGCAGATGACCTCCTGTACAAAGCAAATAGAAGTGTGTTTTTTCATTTTACAAGACTGGCCTGTTCTTGCTTTACCGGTCTTTTTTTTTTTAACTTTTACACCCAGAAGATTAACTAGAGGTTTTTCATGTTTTATGATTTCCTCTATATGTTTAAAGGATAAGTGCTGACTTTGTTTAGATAATAATTGCCTGTGAAGTGATTCCCAGAATTGGAATTTTGTGTTTACAATCGTCAATAAAAATATTGTGAATTTTGAGAAACTCTTCTTTTATTCAGACGGACGTACTGTATGTGTTTGTGTCAAATGCAGGAAAGTCAGTGGGAATTGTGACTACAACGCGTGTCAACCACGCAACTCCCAGTGCAGCTTACGCCCACAGTGTGGACAGAGACTGGTACTCGGACAACGAGATGCCAGATGAAGCGCTGCAGGCTGGCTGTAAGGATATCGCCAGGCAGCTCTTCGAAAACATTCCCAACATTGATGTGAGTGGAAAGCATTGACTCTGACCAGAGCTGAAACTATTCTTTGATGAACAAATTAGACAAAAAACAACTTTTTTGAATATTCATTAATAACTTCTGACAATTTTCAAGCACAAATTCTAAATATTGTTGTGTTTTTTGTGTGTTTTTTCCATGCTAGCGGCATGGCTTTAGACTTTATGTCTATTTGGGTATATCACTCCGATTAAAATAAGTATTGGATGGATTGCAGTGGATTGAAATTTTCACAGGCATTTATCCAAACATCCAGAGAATTAAACCCAGTGACTCTAGTGATCCCCTGACTTTTCCTCTAGCACCACCAGCATTAGTAACCAACATGTATGCATGTAGTTTATTGCAAAATCTCTGAAAGAAAAAACTGTAGAATTAAATCATGGTCCCCTCAGAATAAACTGTAATAACTTCATCGGGACATAATTTGAATTGCCTAACTTTGGTTTCTGATCAATTTCTTGCAAAATGGATGATATTCCCTTTGGTCTCAGCTGGACATTGTATTAAGTATTGATCAGCTGTTTACATACTAGCAGTCTTACATAAGATAGTGAATGTGTATTTTGCTGTAAGTACTACTGTGTCATAATAGCCCAATTAAAAGCCTGCTTTTTAATTGCTGGTCTTACAAAACAAGAAAGTTGCTATCACACAACTGTGATTGGCATTTTATGGACAAAGCAATTAATTGAATAATCAAGGAAGTAATTGGTAAGTTCACTGAATTGCTCTCTGAATTTTAGTTCACCTTTAGATTATGTGGGTTCCATTTAACTTAAATGAACCCAATTGGGCTTAAAACAAACTTGAAAATGTAATTGTCAGAATCTTTGTACTGAAACAAACCAACGTTTATTCCTAGTACCCTTACAACTGCAATATTCAATTTCATTGTTTTTGTGTTGCTGCAATTCTCTGAGCATGTGGGCATTGGATTCCAAAAATGGCTGTGATTGAGACAGTAGTTTTGTCTTCTATTCTGTGGCTCTTCAGGTAATTATGGGTGGAGGCAGGAAGTACATGTTCCCCAAAAACACGTCAGATGTGGAGTACCCTAGCATGGCGAAGCACAGCGGCACACGCAAAGACGGCAGAAACCTGGTTCAGGAATGGATTGACAGAATGAAGGATAAAGTAAATTTCTCCTCCTCTTTATTCGGTTTGCTCCCCTCTACTTTCTGCTCCCTCTTTTATCTTCCCAATTACTTTTGCATATTTTGTCTTGAGTTCAAAGTGACTGTAGCATTACCGGTTACACTGCACTGTACATTTGTCTTTCTTTTTTTAATATGCAGAAAGGCCATTATGTATGGAACAAGAGTCAGCTCTTATCACTGAACCCTAACAACGTGGATTACTTATTGGGTGAGTTTTCAGCCTTAGTGTCATTATGAAACTCTCATTGAAGTGTAAATGAAGAGCCATACTGTACGTGCATGAATTTGCTGTGGGCTTATTTTCTTCCAGTAATATCCTACTTCTCCTTGAACTGTTATTCCAGGTCTCTTTGAACCTGGGGATCTGACATACGACTTGGAGAGGAACAAAGAGAATGACCCTTCACTGACAGAGATGGTGGAGGTGGCCATCAAGATCCTGAGGAGGAACCCCAGTGGATTTTACCTGCTTGTGGAAGGTGAATCTTTACCTGTGTTGTACTGAAAAGTGTTAACTTGCTTTGGATGTACTGTTTGTCTATACTGGGTTAATTTAGTATGCTTCACACTTCTCACTTGACTTAAACAAACCCTACAATTGGGGAGAACTGCCTGTTGAGCTCAAAAGGCATCCATGGTGCTGGACTTGGTTGTTCACACACAAAGCAATGGAGGTAGTTGTGTGAAAAATGAAACAAAGAGAGCTTGAGGACAATTGCTTACTTTCACACCTTGCAAGTAACGTGGGCAGGCTCAATAGAAGCTGTGTCCCAATTCCTTTCCAAGACCTTACCATTTTAAAAGGCTCATTGAAATGTGGCTAAGAAATATTTCCTTCCATTCCTGTGCAACAAAGGATGCAGTGAGTGGATCCTTCTCTAGTCAACCTATCACAGTTTACAAGCTTGTGGCACAAATAGGAAATCCTTTACAGATAGTTTCATTTCAGATGACCTTGCAACCGCGGTCTATGAGCCACCTTCATAGAGCACGTCTACTGAGTCATCCAAATGATGTGGCCTCTAATTTGGGACTCAGCTATTGTCAGATGCAGACTTCTCTGAATCCAACTGCAGAGGCTTATAAACTCTCCGAATTGACACCATTAGCTTATTTGTGGAGCTACTCTATTGGAGAGAACACATCTACACATTGGCACGTCTCACTTATTCATTGTTGTATGTTTTCAAGATATCTCTGCAAAGAACGTCAGAGTGCATTCTTGCAGAGATAATTTGTAACTTCCTTCACTTGCTATCTGTTTGACTTCGTAGCTCAACCTTGAGTCCCACGGATATTGCAGACGGAACAGCAAACTCTGTTCTATATTATGGGTAACCAGAGGCCAAGGGAAAACTCGTTTCCGCCATTGACTCCCACTTGACAAACAGGAAATCATTTGAATTTTCTTCATGTTTACTGTACATGTAGTGTATGTTGCTTTTTCTATATTCATAGTGTCACCATTGTTGGATCCTCCACTTTACTGAAAAGCTTGTTGTAGCAATTGGTTGCTCTTAGAAAGTTCCTTCGACTAAAAGTTCTTGTTACTTTTGGGCAAAACGCAGCAATAAAATGTTAGGTAACATTTACATGGAATAGCATAATCAACTATGCAAACAAATAAATGTGATAGTTTGTGGTATAAATAATTTCTACTGCTGCGAATTAAATTAAGCCTAAGGAGGAGAAAACTAAACCTGAGCCATTCCAAGAACATTTTGTATTTTCCTGTCTTATTTTCATTGTAACTGTATCGGCCCAAAATATCAGCATGATATTGGATACAGTGGGAACAGGAAATGTGGTGTTGATAGCCAAGTCGGTGTCAGCAATGTGTAGGCTATAGCAGGAAGAGGAATTTTGCTGTTGATAAGCCTCTGTACATGCAAACACCTGCATGTATCACAGCATAAGTTCAGCTATGGGCTTAAGAGGTCAGTTTTTCTATAATATGGTGTTGATTGAAACCCCAACACCTTTTTGATAGTAGAATTTTGGTTCGCATATGAAAATGTTTGTCAGAGAATCAGAAATCAGAAACACTTTATTGATCCCAGGTGGAACTTGTTTTGTTACAATTGCTCCAAGCGAGAGTAGAAATATAAGCATATAAGATTAAAACTAAATAAATAAATAAAATATGAAATATATGCAATATGTGCATACTGTACATTGAATATTTAGTGCAAGCATTGATATGCATTGTGATGACTCCATTCTGTTGACTCAGAGTATTCGACACTCAGATGGCCACAGGCAGGAATGACTTCCTGCGGCACTCTGTGGTGCAACTACTTTGGCCGTCTCACACTTCTAGACCCATTGGAAGGATTGTTGCACCCAGCCTCTCTTGGTCAAACAGCTAAAGACAGCTGAAGTTAATTTTAAAGTATGCAATGACCTCAGGTGTTTCCTCCTCTTTAAGGGGGCCGTATTGACCATGGACACCATGAGGGAAAGGCCAAGCAAGCTCTGCATGAAGCTGTGGAAATGGACCGGGCCATCGGCCAGGCAGACCTCATGACAAGCATCCACAATACAATGACCATAGTTACTGCGGACCATTCGCATATGTTCAACTTCGGAGGCTACACACTCAGAGGAAACACAATATTCGGTATGTAATCATGATTCACACCGTTACTATTTATTTCTATTTATTTTACATTGTTGTACAATATGACTCTAAGTAGTCCAAAATGTTATCCTGGTGAAAATGCTTTATGCCCTGTCTCCTTTATCTGCAGGTCTGGCCCCCATGATGAGTGATGTTGACCAGAAGCCCTTTACCTCCATCTTATATGGGAACGGACCAGGTTACAAAACTGTCAGTGGTGTGAGGGAGAACGTGTCCACTATTGATTACCGTAAGTGAAATCATGTAGCCACCAGATCAGTGTATATTTTTTAGGAAAGATATTATATTTAAAAGGCACTTCTGCATTGGTTCAGATTACGCAGGGTTGTGGTCCAGGGGTTGTGATTGGACATGTATGCAACATGTATGCAACAGGCTGCACATTCTGTGGATGTGCGTGGGGTTGTGCTGCGGTTCTGTCTTTGCGTATCGTGAACCGAAACCATGGACGGTGTGGGAGCGGTTGTGTCTCAGAGGTCAGAGCAGTTGTCCTCTAACCAGAAGGTCGGCGGTCAGATTCCAGTCTTCCCTAGTCTGTATGCCGAAGTGTCCTTGGGCAAGTTTGAAATTGAAGAGAAAGTGCTGCACATATCCTGCACTGTATGGATTTGTAGTAAAGTAAAGAGGCCTTTTTTTGTCATTGAACAGGATACAATGGAATTTCTGAGGTGACTCCCAGCAATCAGCAATAAAATGAGAAAAACAAATATATGCATATGTGCATATATTGTGTACATATGTACACACGACAATAATGCCGCTCTGTACTTTACTGTAAAGCACTTTGAGTGGCCATCAGTTACTAGAAAAGACAATATAAATACAGGCCATTTACCATTTGTCTCAGGCGATCTGATCACAAGTGGACAGCTCTCTAAGTACAGGTGAAAACACTCCCTAGACACATGGAGGACAGAGATCTCTCTCTTTCACTGACACACACACACACACACACTTATAAACATACTGACAATACAGCTATGTCTATATTCAAGCTAGCTAATTCATTTGGTCTTTGCAAGCATCAGACTGGAGGTTCATTTGCATATAGAATGGGGGAGATCTGATCACGAGTGGTCACTGGAGACACACATAGGGATGAATTCTAATGCCTGGTGTGAACTGATTGTGAGGTTAACTGAGGTGTGAGCCTTCATGTGTGAGTTGAGTTGTTGCAAAGCCAATTTTGAAACCATCATTTGTTTATATCCATATTTGCTCTTCAGTCGTCTTTCCTGTCTTTGTTGGAACATTTTTCGGGTGTGTTAATGCCATTGGACAAACTATGTGTGTCTATATCCTTTTGGATGTGCACAACATCAGGGGGGTCCACTTAGTGTTACCAGAGGCCCAAACCTCCACAGGGAGCCTTTAATTTAAGGAGGCTTTTATTCATCCCTCATTTTGGCATCAAGAATAACTATTAACATTTTTCTCTGTGTTGTGACCTTTCAGAGGAAAACAACTACCAGGCCCAGGCAGCTGTACCTCTAACCATGGAGACTCATGGAGGAGAGGATGTTGCAGTGTTTGCTAAAGGTCCCCTCGCTCACCTACTCCATGGGGTCCATGAGCAGAACTACATCCCCCACGTGATGGCTTACGCAGCCTGCATCGGCCAGAACAGGGAACACTGTATGTCATCCAGCGGGACCACACCCCCTTTACACCCCGCCCTCTCAAGCATCGCAGTCCTTCTGGCAGTTGCCCAACTTCTCTGCTGACTTACCTCTGACAACAACACATTTTGATGGACAAATTTGACACTGAATTCAGAAGCAACTGAATGTATAGTTAGCGAAACAGTAAAAAAAATAAGGATGCGTCTAACCCTGTGCATAGAAAAAGCACTGAAAACCTCACATAACATTTTGTCCAGTAATGGAAGTTGTAAACTCTCTTGACCAATAAAAATGTGTTTTCTGATAATCGTGTCAGTTTTGTCGCAACATTAATGGTTGAAAAGTTTTTTTCTCATTTCCAAAATACACTTTCTCCTAAATTGTCATGAGTGGATGTTAATGTTGCTGCAGTTAAAGTTGTTGAGTCAAATTTGTCAACATTTAATAGTTAAAGAAAACTGTGAATAGACATTAAAAAAAATCTTGGCATGAGACAAGTGAAACGACTCTACAGACAACACACAATCCTATTCTTTTCTGTTTATCTTTCCCCGTCAATGTCACAAATTCACCATTCGACGCACATCTGCAGCGAAAGACCAAATGTAACAGTGAATATCTTTTTTCTTTAAATCTCCCATATGTTGTATGTTGTATTCTTCCATCCGCTCTGTTGTGGCTTGTGTGGAATGTGAATGGACTGAAGCCACTCATTCTGTGGCATCACGTGCTCACTGGGAAAACAGAGGAATCCTGTTGGCTGAAGCATGAAAGGGGGAGGTTTAGTGATCAATGTGTATGAAATGAACTTCCCATGCAGTCTCCACTATACCCTCAGTATCACCACAAATAATGGCTGCTTGGAATCCACAGAAGGCCTCAGGGGCCACTTAATGTATTCTTGTGAACTTGCTTTGCTGATTACATTTTTCTTATGCTTCTTGGCAGCTTTACAAATCCGTACCCTGTAATCCAGTTTTATCTTTTGTATTCTATATTTAGAAATACACGACGATGGGTATCAGGTTGAACAGCATGAAAATTCGAGAGGGGTTTCAACTCCCAACTTCATCTTTCTCTCAAATGTATTTCCACATGACTCACGGCCATGAAAATCTCAGAAAAATGAAAACCGCTTGTTTGTCTTTTTTTTAATATTTTATTCATCAATGATGAGGTAAAATGATTAAGGCAACAAACAATCACTGGTGAGGAAGAATCAATCAACCAATCAGAGTTATAAGTTGATGGTATTTTCTCCATAGAACAATATTATAAGAGACATCTGTAAAAAGTTCATATGACACCTCCAACAACTAACAAAGACAATTACTACTTGTCACATGAAATGATCAAGCTGCTTTCAGACATGGACTGAGATTCTTCCAAAATGTTCTTGAGGGGCTGTATGTGAGAACGCTCTGGACATTCTCCAGAACTTTTCCTGCCAGCGCCCATTAACAAAAACACATGATTCCTGCATGTCCGGACTCCTTCATGCGTACCCAGGAGCAGTGGGGAATTTGTTCAAATTGCATATGGAACTGTCCCAAGTTTTCCAAATTATAGATACTTAAGAGGGGAAATATTCTCTTTAAATCCATTAAGCTGTATTTTGTCCACAAGATTTTTTGTGAACTTGAAATATTATATTAAATAACTGATCTTTTAATATATGCACAGAAGTATTATCTCTGTCCATGCTACACTTCTATCAGTTGCTCATCTGTGACAGAGCATTGGAACCCACAAAAAGTTCTGACTGTGTCATCAAATCATGGCTCGCTCTGACACCGATGATCACGTCTCTCATCAAACACATCACCTCGATCTCTCTGACCAGAAACTCAATCATTTCCCTTTCATCCTCTCTCTCTCCTCGCTTTGATTTGGCCACTTTTACTCAGAGTGATTTTATATCAATCAATCTATCCGTCACTACATTGAGGACCCTCTCTCTTAAATCTGTATCATTATCTCCAGCCCTTTGAGTCGCTGTGGGCATGGTGGAATAATTGAAAAAGAAAAGGAGTGTGTTGAGATTACAGAGCCTGAGACAGATCAAACTAAGAAAGCAACATAGGGCTGACAGCTGTAATTCTGCTGTATAAAAGAAGCACTGAGGCTGCAAGAAGATGCTAATTCTCCCCTTTTCAAAGCAGAGATCCTTCCCTGGGCAGAAAAGTCATTGACCCCCTTCGCTTGGATGATCTACAGTAGCTCAGCATGCACATTTTTAACCTTGAATTACATTCTTAATGACACAAAAAATGTCCTTTGCAATCCGGATCAAGGTTTCCAATGGTTCACATTGTCCATACATACATTTCTAATGCTGCAGAGAGCAAAACATAAATTATAAATTGTACTCTGATACATGGACTTGTAGGTGACCTCATACAATTTGCTCTTCCTTATGTTCACAACAGAAAACAAACAGAGGTTTGAGTGTTTGCTGAGTGGAGCTGGAGCTGCAGGTGAGACGGAGGGTGAGTAGAGTTAGCGGTAGGCTAATTTACATAAGTAGGTGTAGAATTATATCCAAGCCCTTTTAAAACACAATTCGAAATGTGTGATATTGAGGATGACAGCTCAGGGTTTAATCAGTACCAGGCAAGGAACACGGTTCACTTTATTTACTTAGGTTTCTTAATTAGTGTTTAACATGAAATAAAACTCATATCTCAATATAATTTGGATTAAATGTTTTATATTGAAAATAATTTCACTGTTTACCTCTAGCTATTACACTTTCTAATTCTTTGGATTCAATGTTGAGTTATTTTGTCCTTCCCCTTGCATATTTCTGAACCTGTTCATAATCTCTATAATCTCTTATTGTTTCCAACTGGGAAGACTTGAACATGTCCGAATCACCTTGCTCTACACCCCCCAGCTCCCATCACCCCTCTGAGGGCAGCTAGCATGAGGGTTAATCCCTCTGCAGCCAGTGAGGGCAGAGAGAATCAAGACATGGCCCCGACTTCAGCACATGTTTTTATTTAGCTTCTCAAATTCTTCTCCGTGCAGCCTTAAAGTCATAAATATAATAACTGAAAGTGCCCTGCAGAAATGTGCAGGGGCTTAAGACTATGGGAACTTGATGAATCTGAGAATGAGACTGTTTTCAGACATGGCCTGTGGTTAAAATTCGGAGAATAAGTTTGTCTTTCAAACATGTGCAACCCAGCAGAAGTTCCCTGCACAGATGCATTCACAACAGCATCAAATCCTGAGAGCTGGAGCAGCCGGGTGCAGCAGTCATAGGCAGGAAGTCACATATTAACTCTGTTGTGGAGATCAAGTGATCATGCTACAGCACCCGACACCAGTGTCGGCTCTTCTCACCACAAACTCTCTTGACGTCTTGGTCGATGTCTTCTACGTGTGTGTCACTGTTTTTTCAGTGATATTTCTTTTCTTTTTTAAATTTAACAAGTCGCATGTTTGAAGCATCATCGACCAACCGCCCCTCTCGCTCGCGGGAAATCCAATTCTAGTGGATTTCTACGGACTTTATGCTAAGAGGTCAGACGGAGAAAGTCCAGAGTTCAGTGCCAATGTCTGAAAGCAGCTATAGTGTCCAATTAAAAAGCAATTCCTGTCAAAGTAGCCATATAATAACTAAAAAACAGTGAGAGACACACAGGTGTCTCAGGTTGGTGGGTAGTTACTCCGTTCATGCATTTTCTGAAACAAAGCCTCAATTCTTCGGCTCGTTGGGAAGCAAATAATCAAGGCAGCTGCTGTGTGAGTGATTATGCAGCAGATTTCCATCCACTAATTGTTAAGAGTGACTTCTGCCGGAAAATCCTCCTCTGTGTTGTCTGCCTGTCAACCAAACTCATTTCACCAGCTGCATTCACCAACTGTTGGCCATTGATAAGGTAATCTCTTATCGCACTGTCGCACAGGATGAAGTCAGGCTCCCATTTACCTCAGAGAGGAACAGCTTCAGAGAGAGCTGATCATTGGCATCACTGATTAAGAACCGTTGAAAACACATAGGCAGGCAGGAAAAGTGTGTTTTTCAGTCACCTTGACCCACAAGAACAACTCCAGATTTCAGGTGTGTTAAGTGACTGTGTAGTCGTCTCTTTTAAAGAGTCAACCAGATGGAGTTTCTTGCTACGTACTGGAACTGGTCAATTTCTCACAGTATCTCATAATTTTATCATTGCAGTTTGGAAACTTACAGGTTCGAATCATCTCTTGGAATTAAAGATCCAGATCTTTTAGAAGAAGTGCGCGGGGGCTGCGCTGCTGTGTTTTATCATGAGGGGCTACAGTAAATCTAAAGCAGTCTTAGACAAGTTGTTTGGTTAGCTGTGAAGTTATCATTGAGACTGAGATGAGATAGCTTTTGTGGACCACTAAACGTTGCCTGGAATGGTGAACCTGACATAAGACAACAAAGCTGAAACTGAATGCCTTAACTCAAATGATGATTTTTGTAAGCAGTGGCACAGCCAATATGCAGTGGAAGACAAAAATTAGCAAGGGAAATTCTTTTAAATATCACTGTCAATAGATACTTGTGTTCAAACAGCTTCTTAATCACTAGAATTATGTACAGAGGAGCTGCTTTGATCCGTTGGTTTGACTTCCCAGTTAACTGACAGGTGAACTGTGAGTTTTGCAGTACATGATTTCTACATCCCTTTTAGGATGCGGCCACCAGAAATGTTGGAGGACCTTGTAATAGATTTTCTTCACATCGAGATGACCAGCAACTCAAATGTGCAATGCTTTAAATAAAAGGTTTCTAGAGGTTTCGGCCACCACAACCTGAGCAATGCTGTCTTCACATCCAAAAGAACAAGAAAAGGCCCTAACCCTAAACAAGCACTCCTTCTAACTGCCAAGTCCAAATTGACTAACTGCACTATTGGCAAATGTGACATATTAGGTCACTAATATTAATAGACCATGGTGTTGAAAACGAGGAAGAAAGGTGTAAACCTATATTTTCTGTGACATGAACCAAGGTCTCAATGAAACACAATCCAAATAAAACAAAAGCAAGCTGGGAGCCTTCTCGGAAAAGAGAAAGAAAGAAAGCCATCTTGAAACCACCCAGCTCGTACAGGCTTCAATACTATGAGGCCAATCCTTCAGGGGGTTGTTTGTTGAATTTATTACATTTCTATGTCATCCCAAAGAGAAAATGGGTCTGGGCGGGTGGTTGGCTGCATAAAATGTGACAGTGGAAAGTAAGATTTGCATTTGGGTTTGTATGGGCGGATGTGGCAGTGACAATCCAAAGTGTCTCATACATTGTTGAAGTGAATGACCTTTTTCTATATG